CCCTCCACTACGGCTCCGCTAGCTCCATGATCACGGGGAACCACTGCATATACCTTGCCTGTGGCTGAAGACTGCTCTGCTACTAGAGGTGGAGAATATGGAATAATCTGCCCCTGAGGAACCTCCTGAACTGCTCAAATCTGTCCCTCAGTCCTTTGTGCTACTGGCGGTGCCTTTAGCCTGTTCTGCTGGCCCTAAACTCTGCCCTGCTGTCGCTGATGCTGCTGGTTCGGACCTTTGCCCTGCTAGGCTCCTGCTGGTGCGCTTCGACACTCCGATGCCATATGCCCGACCTTGCGACAGTTAAAACAAGATCCCTGGAACTTGCGCTGCTGATGCGCTCTCTGATCCTGTTGGGGTCCCTTTTTATAAGGGCCCTGATGCTGCTGCTGAGGTCCAGAAAAAGGTCTCTTGTTCTTGCCCTTGTCCCTGCTCTATCCTGCCTTGGCCTTCCCTTCCTTATCCTTCTGGAACATAGTAGTCTCAATCTCCTGTGAAGTGGCGGCCTTAGCTACCTCCCTAACTGAATAGAACCTCCTCGAAACGAGATACCGGTGGAGATTAGGGCGAAGCCCTGCTAAGAACATCTGAGCCGTTTGCCACATACCCGTGAAATGTAGCAACTCCATGAATCTGCTCTCGAAATCTGCCACTGTCATGTCTCCCTGAGTCAACCGGGACAACTCAAGCTCCTTCCCAGTTCGAGCTGTAGAAGAAATGTACTGCCCATCAAAGAAGTATATGAAATCCTCCCATGTGAGGGTCATCCTCTGCTCTTGAGTAAACTGGAGTGTCGGTACCATCTCCCGGCATCTCCCTTCAGACTGTAGGATGCCAATCTCTGTTTCTGAACTGAATCCACACTGAGTATGTTAAGTAAGTTGCTCACATTCTCCTTCCACTTATGGGGTGCCAGAGGGTCTGGTGACCCCTGGAACTCTGGTGCCCTCATCTTCTGGTACCTCTCCACCATACGAAGCCAAGCCTCCTACTCTGTGGCTCTATCGGGGACTGCTAGAGGAATGGCTGCAGGCGTGATCTCTGGGGATCTCTCTCTGATAGGAACGACGGGTATCCCCTGCTGTTGAGCTACCGGTGGTGGTGGTGTCCGAGGTGCTATATGAGTCATCACCAACTCCTTGATGACTGTCATCCTGGCAATAAGAGGAGCCATGATGTCCACCAAGTACTGAGGAGCTCGCTGCGGCTTGGGTGGTGCCTGCTGTGGCTCGGTTTGAGTTGGCTGCTGCTGTTCGCGGGAAAAACCGTGTCTTTCTTCATTGATTCCATTCCACTCTTAAATAAAAACTTTTTGAGTTACAAAGATCCGGTCTTTTTATAAGATCCGGTTACAACGAGATCAAAAAAGGAAATAAAAATTACAACTTTTCTCTTTTGTCGAACAAATCGCGAGCTCCTGTTTTGCAGTCGCTCGCTTTGTAGGTTCTTTGCCTGCGCCGGGGTTTATTCGTGGACCACCGCGAGATCTAGATCCGGTCGGATCTACGCAGTACGACGGGTATTATTTCGCCAAGAAAATAATAGCCGAGGGTACTATTTCGCCAAGGAAATAGTAGCCTTTAATTCTCGGGATCAAAGACCAAGCTTTGATCTGGAGTACGCCTGCGTAGATCTGAGATCCGGTCCTCTCGAACTCTTGCCTTATTTGGCGTTGACGATCGCCGAGCACCAGATCTGGATGAATAAGTCCTCGAAGTCCCAAAGCTTGGATCTTTTTTAGATCTGAGTCTTCAATCCAGCAGGGCTTCGCCTCCAAAAAAAAAATCCAACCCTTGAACAAATGAACCACCCCTCCTATTTATAGCCTCTCTTCACTGTGCCCGGGCACAGAACTTGGCCGGCCACCTATAGGTGGCTCGGCTCTTGGCCGAGCCACCCATGGGTGGCTCGGCTTTGGCCGAGCCCCCCTTAGGCCTCAAAATGAACCATGCCCTCTATTTATAGGCTCTCAGATCTGTGCCTTGGCACAGATCTGGGCTGGCCACCGAGCCACCTAGAGGTGGCTCGGTTTTGGCCGAGTCCCCTAGGTGTTGGGTTTTCCGTCGTTTTCCGTTTTCGGTTCTGTCCATGATCCAGTTCTGTGGTTGATTAATCCGGACTTGAATCGTTGACCTGATTTGGCAGTAAATCCGCTTCTTGATTTGGCAATAAATCTACTTCTGAGTTCGAGTCCGAAACTGATCTTGATTCGATCGTGATTCGTCCGAGTCTGCCCTTGGTTGGATGACTCTTCGAACCCTTGGCTTGATTCCGCACGCGAGTGGATTTATTCCGTTGTTTGCGTGCGGTTTATTAGTTTCGTAGCCTCATTAATCCGCTTCGTCGCGTATCGCTTGGCTTGTCGGTTTGTGCTGAGCTGTGCTAAGGGATCTATAAGCAATTTTATACGCCTACAGATACCCCCTCCAAAGTATTTCAGCCTCGTTCTTTTATAGAAGAGTCTGGAATACTTTGGATATGATTGTCCTATCCTTCGGGATATTTGGAGTGGCTTCTATTCTTGATTCCTTCAATCCTTCAGGCTATTCGGTACTTTGTCGAATGTCTGTAAGGTTTTCGGTGCTGCATTTATTGTCTGACCATTGTCGGAATTTCGAATTTGAAGACGATTTCTGATTTTATGATCTTTAGCTCATGTTTGTTGGTTTAACATAGAACTGACCCTCGAATGTTGGCGTTGAGTCTTTATTTGCTACGTGTTGTCCGGCGTAGTGTTGTTGAGTTATCCTTAAGAATATTTATAAAAATATTCTCCAGGAACTTCTCAACGAAAAATAGGGAACAGTTTATACTCATATACCTTATTGGAGTAATTTCTGTGCCCGAATGAGCTGAACCGGTCTGGTAATGAGCTGAACCGGCTTGATAATGAGCCAAAAAAAGGCAGTAATTCGGCTCAAAAAATCTTCTGATGCTTCCGAATATGCGGGAGAGGCAAGAATAAACCAAGAACTGATCCCTCGGTCGATTTGAAGTCGTTTTGATGCTCGACTCAGCTCCAATTTGAATTCTGGTTCAAATCTGGTTCAAACTGGTTCAACCTGGTTCAAGACTGGCTCAACCTGGTTCAAGGCTGGTTCAGGACTGGTTCAAGACTGGTTCAGACTGGTTCATCCTGGTCTGGTCTGGTTCAGCCTGGTTCGGTCTGGTTCAATGTTGGTTCACCCTATAAAAAGGGGTTCTTTTCTTTTTATTTCCCTCCTTCTAGGGCCGGCCCCCTTCTCCTCTTCTTTTTGGATTTTCTCTTCCCTCGAGCATCCGTTCTCCCTCAAAACTTCATAGTTGCATTAGATCTAGTCTTCCTTTGGATCTTTGACTAAAGAATCCCTCAAAAATCTTTATATAGAAATTCCTCTCAGGCCCCTCGAGCACGTGGTCTGAGCCTCTTTCAAGATTTGATCTTTGTCGGATCTTCGAGCTTTCCCTCGGGTAAATCCTCCGCAATTTTAGCATATTTCATCCTTAATTCAATTTATGAATTTGTGGGATCGCATGCGAGGGTTAGGATTAAGATTTGGCGCCTCACAATTTTAGCATATTTCATGCTTAATTCAATTTATGAATTTGTGGGGTCGCATGTGAGGATTAGGGTTTATGATTTGGTGCCTCGAGCTCCTCTTTCAGGGGGTAAAATTTGGAGCTCTGAGGGATTTAATTGCAAATAAAAAAGAAACTTCTTTTCTGGATCTGATCCCTAATTTATTTCGCAGATCATCATGTCGCGTGTCCCGAGAGGTCGCTCCCCTGTTGCGTCGACTGATGACGTGCCTCCCTCATATGCTGGTGAGCTATTTTTTTAGAAATTTACAAATTAGTCCATTTTTTTCTTGAAATTTGCAAATTAGTCCCTTTT